TTTGGAATGGGTGAAGTTGTGAATAAGGGAAAGAAAGATAGGATATGAGATAAACTACCTCCCTATTCAAATTAATTATTGGGTTTTCATGTATTAGATTATGAATTGTAATGTAAAATTCACATTTTTTTTCGGATAAGTTAGGAATCAAAATAATTCCAATATTAATTCCAGATATCTTTTGGTAGTTTTCTAATTATTAAAGGTGACCAAAATTATAGACTTATAAAAACAAAATTACGTTGATTACAGTTTCAAATTTACTTCTTTTTTTTTTCCACTATTTTTCAACATATCATCTTCAACAACCAAGGGCGGAACTAGGGGGTGGCTAGGGTATGCTCCAGCACAATGCTGACTTTGAGACTAGGCTTAGTGTATAAGTTAGGAATCAAAATAATTCCAATATTAATTCTAGATAAGTAAACATTATATCAATCTTTTGGTAGTTTTCTAATTATCAAAGGTGACCCAAATTATAGACTTATAAAAACAAAATTACGCTGATTACAGTTTCAAATTTACTTTTTTTTTTCCCCACTATTTTTCAACATATCATCTTCAACAACCAAGGGCGGAATTAGGGGTGGCTAGGGTATGCTCCAGCACAATGCTGACTTTGAGACTAGGCTTAGTGTATAAGCTAAATCCAGACCAATCAAATAATCAGCCCGCCATGGACAAGAAATCATCCGACTGAGAAGAAAGAAAAGAGGAAGAGAGGAAGAAGAAGGAAAAATAAGAGAGAGAGAGAGAGAGAGAGGGGTAGATATTCAACATGACTATCAATTCCTTGTTTCTCCCCTCTTTCTCTTTCTTCTCTCTTTTCTTATTGTTTTCTTCTCTCTTCTTTTTCTTCTTCTTCTTCCTATTTACAAGTTCATATCCAGATCTGCAACTGCAACAAAGTTTTAGTGTTTATGCCTCAATTTAAATTTTTTGGATATGCTACTGCTACGAATTGTACTTTTGTTTGTGTTTATGCTTCCCACGCGGTTCTCACTGTATTAATTAGCATACAAAAAAGAAAAAATTGGTTCTCATTCTTTATATAGATCTCTCATCAAAAAAAAAAAGTTGCACACTCCAAGAAAAATTAATGGATCCGCCATTGTCAACAACTACAGATTTCTAATGTTCGACATGTGTATCGTGAAGCAAATATGATCGCCGATGCTCTTGCTAATTTGCTTCAACATAAACAACATCTTTGTTTATGGTTTACTAATTTTCCCAAAAGGCATGACTATGAGGTTGTTGTTTGATCAAAGGAATATTGGAATCGCTCAAGGATTCTCTTTGTAATTTTATTTTGTAATTCAAAAAACAAATGAAGTACACGTGTGGTTGATTTTTCGATGATGTTGGTTATCGTTGTGAGATTAGCCTTACTCTTTTAAGTGCTACAAGAGACAACACCTTATAATTCATAGTATGCTATATATTTTTTCATTTTCTAATGTATCAAACCATCCTAAAATTCGACATGCTATTAAACTTCAAAGTTAAATAGATAATATATTTACAATTCAAATATCAATAACTTCAAAGTTTCATCAAACTTCAATTTCAACATGTAAAATAAAATAAAATAAATATACAAAAAGATGGTCGAGTTCGGCTTAAATTGGTTTGCAAAAGTCAAAAACTAAACCAAACAATTACAATGAGATTCGTTTAAATCATTTGACTTTTTTCTAGGTTAAAACCAAACATAACCAATCATTACGGTTCGAATCGATCAGATTGATGCCACCTCTACTTTGTAGCAGGACGATTATGTCTTTTCATTTTTTGGCTAGGTAATGTTCTAGCTTATTTTCATATAAGAAAAAACAAGCGTGCAATTAGGTAAGATTTGCGGGTAGTTGGGCAAGTGTGGCCGGCTCAACACTAATTCAATTCTGGTCTGTGGGTCCAGACCAGAGATGCATAATCAAATCAATTCAAGTCAAAATCTGAGTAGGACACAAACCTACCTACCATCTTACTGTAGAAATTATTATTATTATTATTATTTTTTTCTTCCTTTTATTGAGGGAATTTTCAGGTTTAAATTCTGGGAAATAGGTGGATACGAAAATTAAAATGTTATTTCGTGAATTAGTTATCTTCTTGGGGTATTCGTAGCAATGGTCCCTCAATTATACCCCAAGTTACACTTTGGTCACTCAACTCAAATATTAATTGCAAAGGTCACTCAATTAAGTGTTTTGTTGCACCTTTAGTCCCACCGTCAAGTCTATTATTTTTTCTGTTTAAAATGATGATGTGGCAAGCATCTCTTAGATTATTGATGGGCAAATGTGACTTTTCAATTAAGATTATTTGTAGCAATGATCCCTCAACTATACTCGGAGTTGCATTTTGGTCACTCAATTAGGTGTTGTGTTGTACCATTAGTCCCTACCGTTAGAGAGACTTGACGGTAGGACTAACGGTGCAACAAAACACCTAATTGAGTGACCTCTGCAACTAATATTTAAGTTGAGTGACCAAAGTGTAATTTGGAGTATAGTTGAGGGACCATTGCTGCGAATAATCCTATCTTCTTTTTTCTTTTTCAGGTTTCTCCCGAAAAAACACATGTAAAAGCATGTACTTCTCGTGGGTCTGGTGGTGGGTGGGTAGATTAGCAGAACTATTGCTACCAACCACATTAATTCCAAAAAAATAACAAGACAAATTTGGTAGGTCCTGGAGGCACAGACGGATACCTCCTACAGTGACTCTAACAAAAACAATACCTGAATTTGTTATTTAAATTAACACCCCTGAAGTCTTTGTTTAAGATTTTATAAATTACGCAAACACCCTATAAGATTTTAAGATCATAAATTTTTTTTTTATTGATTGGTCGTCTAAAAATTAATGAAAATTTTTAATTTATGCAAATGACCAAGACTAACTTTTTCATTTGAAATTT